AAATTTCTATATGGCTAAAAAAAACACGTCATCCTAGTGCAAAACATTTTAGTGAGAAAAAAATTTAGCTGCATTTCCATTAAGTGTAGTTATTCTCGTGATTCCAATTTGCGCAATTTTATGGTCAATGGAAACACAGGAAAAATGAGAGGCTTTAAAATGACAGAAAAAGAACAGACTCTTCCCAATCATTATCATTTCGATGGTCTTTATGTTTATTATGATCTGAGATAAATGTGATTCCATTATGACAGTAATATATGCTGAAAGCTCACGAGGCGATAAGCTCAGTGGCCATCTCATATGATGTGAAAGACGCTCTCCTTATTGAATGTGGTGTGATGTGACCCCTGCTCCTAATATGATGAATTAATGACCGTTCACAGAAATAAGAAGAGAGAAAACATTTCAATGCTGTTCCAATATCTTCTTGCATCACAGAAATCTAATCTGATTTTAGCTCATACATGCCAAACGGCTTTATTTAACAAACGGTCCCTCAAATAACTGTCAAATAATTGCAACATGGGTGTGTTCTTGATTTGATGCAGCTTAGTAACATCATAGCAACCAGAACAAAAAAAAATGTATTCAATATTCAAACACATTCAACTTAAGAAAACTGATGTCTTCTGAAAAGGCGCCAGCAAGGGAGTAAGACATGTTTCTTTTTTTTAATTATTATTATTTAGCTTTTTGAGAAGGCATTAAGTTAAACTAAAACTCATGGTTGCCATAAACAACAGGGGCTGTTGTGGGAGGCATCGGGGAACAGGACATAAACATTTACCTCCAGGAGAGCAGAGTCTGAAAGGGAGAGGTTAAATACTTAACGTGACCCTGGATGCCTGAGTGTCAGGGAGCGCCATGGCAACTCCAGCAGGGTCAACAGTGCAGGTAGAAGCAGGTTGGCTTAACTTCAGGTGCCCTGAGGCGCCACATAATTTGTTTTATACTTGGTCTCTGGTTACAAAGCTCTGGCTCTGGACCGTTGTTATTATCTGTGTGCGCGACACGGCTGTAGCTACGGCAGACGGTTGCATTCTTTACTCCAGGTTAACACTTGCACTGCATCCTTCGGGCATTTATCTGCAGTAAATGAGTAATTGTCTTCCAATAGCTCATTCTCATTGACCAATAATAAGGTGCTAAATACCACCCTTTGGTATTTAGTCATTTGGCTTAAGAGCTGCTCGGCTAAAACAGAGGTGAAACTGGGATTTCACCCATTTCTCCACTACTCTGGCTAAAATCTCTAAACCTGCCTGTAATAGATAGTCCACAACTGAGACAAACTTGATCCTAATGTATAAAACAGATATCTGGAATCAGAGGAGGGGGTCAGGGGAAGAGTGGTGATTAAACTTTTTTCATAAATTTGGGTTATGCCACAAGCCTTTTATCGCTCTCAAAATAGAAACATTAGGAAACCAAGCATAGGATAATCTTGTTAAATGGATTACCGTTTTGTGAGGCGGGGACCGGGGCGTAAAAATCCCCCACCAGGTCTGAAACGTAACACAGATTAATCCCTAGAGAGCTAATATTTCAATGTATCACTCTCGGGGTGTAAGAGAGAAACAGGAGAACTGTGATCACAGACGTAATCCATGGACTAATCTGGCAGATCACAGCTCTGAGGCAGATCAGGCTGATATCTGACGCCATGTACTATGACCGTTCACTCCCAAAATGACCAGGAGTGTAATAAAAGTATGCAGTGTTGGTTTACGTGTGTGTAAGATATGTTTCACCTCTACAAAGCTCTTTAAGGATATAAATGAAGGGGTGGAGAGCTGAAGTAAAACAGAGATATGGTCTTAAGGTGAAAGAAAGGTCAATGTAGACAGAGTCTTGTAAAAGTATTCATATCCCTGAAATTGTTCCATATTTTGTCACTCCATAGTCTTCATGGCATTTTATTTGGATTTTATGTGGGAGCACAACATCCATTCGTCATGGAAACTCATTGGAGCTGCAGTGGGTCAAGATCGGGTCATGACCAATCTTGTTCTTTTGGTAACTACCCATCGCTCATTTCCAAAGATAATGGTGGGAACGTAGATTGACCAGTAAATAGAGTTTTGGCTGAGATCTCTCTTCACCATGACAAACCAGTAAAGCCCGCATCACTGCAGCTCAAATTTGTTTATCAATCTCCTGCTCTGTTTTTTCCTCTTACATGAACAAGACCCTGACATACCTAAATCCTCCACTTGAGGCAGAACCGCGTCCCTGACCAAAGGAATACGCTCTACCATTTTTCAGCTGAAGACCATGGTCTCTGATTTAGAAGTGCTGATTTCCACCCTGGCTGCTTCATACAAATTTCTAGAGATGTACGATATAATCGGCACTAACATTGGTATCGGTTGATATTAGTAATTTGTTGACATATTGGTCCAATAAATAAAACTGGGCTGATAGAAACAACCAATATTTTGCTTCAGGAGGGGAATAGGTTGGTCATGTGGTGCTTGTTTGATCATAAACAAGCACCACATGACCAACGATGCACATGACAGCGATGCACCAAAGGATTGTGGGGAATTTAGCTGAAGCAGAGAAGCAGTATGGTTGTTGTTTTTTCAAGGTTTTGAAAGGACAGTAAAATATATGTAATGTTGGTAAATATCAGTTTTTGGTCATAACCGCAATATTATGTGACTAGAAAATCAATGTGATTTTTTAGTCACATAAATTCATTTTAAAGCACAATCAAGTAATTATGTACCCTTCAGTTGTTATAAAAATGCCATGTATGTCAAATATGACTTAAAAGAATTTTGACTTTGTAATTTAATGTCTTGAAATTGGGCCTCTGTCTCTTTAAGAAACTCCTGCTCTTTATGAAAGTCTGTCTTCAGGAAGTCATCAGAACATGGGTCCTCTATTAACCCTTTAACAACATTTTTACCAGCGTTGCACTGAGAAGTCAATCATATACCACCGGTTGTTTGCTAATTGCTCCTGGCTAGTCTGGAGGAGTTGACATGAAGTAAAGCTCCAAAAAGTCAATTTTACATAATACTCCCACTTTAATATCAGCTACTGATATCAGACCAAATTTTCATTTCAGTTATTTTTTTAAAAGAGTGCATCTTTTTGTTCAACTTTACAATTATTACATTACTTCACTTTGGCATTTCATGTCAAACCCCAAGAAAATACAATGAAGTTTGTAGTTATGTGGAAAAACGTCAACATTCCAAGTAGTCTGAATACCTACGCACCTCCTCATCTGACACACACCCAGAAAATAGTTCTCTATAGGTCATGGTGTAGTTTTAAAATAGACCCAGGCTGGGCCATTAAAGCTTCATCTGGTAAATGAGAAAAAGGTTCAGAGTCAAGACAGAATCATTCAATCGTACATCTGCTCTCCATTCTGACGTAGTAGTAAACAAAGATTGAGTGAGTGTTAATAGAGTTGAAGAAAACGTGAAGGTAGTAAAGTAGAGAGTGGAAAAAACCCCCACAGAGGTCAATAGGCGCATCTGAATGGAAGCAACACTAACCAGTGTTGCTTCCGTCTGCCCACCCAGGCTTTAACGTGAGCACACCAGCTACTGAGGCATGTGCCCGCAGTGGCTACACAAACCTCATCTTTCAGCACCACCCACAATGCCACTCTCTTTAATGAAACGTATGGTTTGGGGTGTGGGGGACATTCTCAGGAAAGTCAGTGTCCCCCCGCAAGAATGAAAAGCAGCTGACATGAGGAAACACTCAAACTGTTCAGGAATTATACAAGTGATCAGGAAAGGCTTTAAAGAGGGTTAAAATGGGATGATAGGAAGGCTGTGGTTCAGACAGCAAATCGAAAGAACCGATGCACTAAAAAAAAGGGATCAGAAGAGCAGAGGTTTACCAAAAAATGTGCCCAGAATTCCACCTCAGACAGAAAAGGCATAGTTACCACATGTTTACACACAGCTCATGTGGGAGTTTGTACTCTGCTTCCATTTAGCTATCAAGAATGAGCAAACTGTTTGTTGTTTCTCTTTGCATCTTAACATTTTGAACACACAAGCTTGATATCACTCAAAAAAACTCCTTCATGATCGCTGCAGTCAAATAAGCCAAAAATGATTACATGTGAACTGCTCATGATGTTTAAGAAAGGCTGAGTTCAAGGTGAGGAAATCATAATCTTCAGATCATTTTCATCAGCTGAACTGGAGCAGTTAGCTGTGGCAAAGCATGATAGGGTTCTGTTTGTGTTCTCCATTGCTTCGAATGATTGGTTCCTAATGATTGGAAAAACTTCCTAATGTAATTCCTGACTGAAAGGATGCGTGTGTGTGATAGGTTATAAAGGAACATTGACATCCAGAGGAGTTTAAGTGCCAAGACTCCCCAGGCCTGTCTTTTATATGCTTAGTTGGTCATTATTGTTGCTACAACACCTTTGTCGTATCAACCAATCAAAACTCTACTATTTCTAATCCAGTTTTTTATTTTTTTAAATGTCAACCCAGATCCAGAAAGTTCCCTTTGAATATGCTGCGTACAATTCTAAAGTGATCAGGGCTTCAAAACGCAATCTGGACATTTGGATGAATGGATAATGGATAAAATAAAGAATGAATGATATGTTGACATTGGCATCGGTTAATGTTAATTATTTTTTAACATATTGGAGTGGGTCCAATAAGTAAAACTGTGCCAACCAAAGTCAATTCCTATCCTGTTGCCATTTATGGTTCTATATTAATTATGGTGATGCTATCAGGACTGTAGGATGTTTAACTGAAGCAGAGCAGTTGTAGTTGCGTGGTTGTTTTTTTCCTCACTATGTCCAAATGGTAGGGAAATGTATCTAATATACATATATGAAATAATAGGTAAAGTCTTTTTTTATTTTTCAAACATTATTTTTGCAAGAAATATATAAAATTTTCCCCAATACTTCTTTAGACCTTGGATAGACACATCAGCCATCTCCAGGCTGCATAAGCACCATTCATTCAAGACAGACAGACAGACAGAGCACCAACCTGATCCCAGGAGCACGGATCTGGCTCTGCAGGTGCTCCTGCCAGCGTTGGTGATGCAGAGACATCGGGGAGGCTTGGTGATGAGGAAGATGGTGAGAGTATGTCCAGGTGGAGAGGCAGCAGGGGCAGGAGGAGGTGCTACCTGGCTGTGGACTGGAGCAGGGCCCAGGGCTGGCGGCAGGGCTCCGGACAAGTGGGCAGTCCGGCTGTCCGCAGGGGCAGCACTGGGTGGAGTGAAAGTGGCAGTGGGGGCAGCAGAGAGCAGAAGGCGCCGTCGGTGACAGGGTGGGGGCCAGGTGGAGTCTGTTTGGCTTCTGGGAGTCTGTGACAGCAGAAGACGGAGACGCAGCCGGTGATGGTGGGAGATTCCTCAAAGAGCCGTTGAGCTTGACCAGCCCACCGTTCTGGACTGGCCTGCAGGCTCTCTGGACGTGGGCTCCCTGCTGCAGCTTCACGGCTCCGTTCCTGACCGCCATGTCTCCATCTCTGTCAGGTGGCAGGAGGTCGCAACTGCAAGCAGCAGAGAGGGGGTCCAGGTGGCTGCGGTCTTCTGTACTGGTACCTAAAGGAGCATTTCCACTGGAGCAGAAAGGATGGTGTCCACCGTTGATAAGCAACAGCGGGTCTCCACCGGAGTCAGTCAGGGCCATGATCTTTTCCCGCAGGTCTGGGACCAATACCGTCACTCTTCTGAGAAGACAGGGAACACATTTATGCCACAAACTTCAATTTAAAAAATAAATGAATAAGTTGAACCATGGCAAACAATGGACATGTATCAGGGTTTCTTCTAGGATTTGTTAAAACACTAACGGTGGTCTGTGAGACAAGAACGCTACTGATAACTAGCATAACCAGGGAGCCTTATATCTCAGACATGAGATGGCCAAACTATGTATTGCATTTGTTGCTCAAATGCAACATATGTAAACATTAGGGTCGTCTTGGCAGGCTTGAACTAAAAATGCATTCTACTTAACCTTCTTAAGGACTTCTTCTTTCACCTTTTCTCTCCCTCTACTTTGTACTGTCATCTCTAGTATTTCTTCATTCCTGAAGAAAAACTAGGAGGAGGAGTCTGTCTATCCAGCAAATAGACAGACAGAAGCCAGAGGTGTTGGGTTTTAAACTAAATGTTTTTAAATTTAAATGTTTCATCATATTTGAAATTAATTTCAAACTCTTATTATGTTTAGTGTAAGTGTGCAAATATAGGCTAATAAATAAATAAAACCTAACTCTGGAGGTGTGAATTTTACTGTTCTGTGGTGGTATGTTACGATCAATTACATGTAGTGGAAACCCTGTGTGTAATATATACATACATATATAGTATTTGTGTGCTTGTTAATCTCTTGGCAAAAAGCACTATCTGGAATAACAAAAAATAATAAAATAATAATTAAAAATATATATATATATATATATATATATATATATATTTTTTTTTTTTTTTTTATCATGGGGAAAAAATCCTTGGAAAAAATAAAATTTTAATGAATTACAATTCACTTTGAAACCAATACTGAGCCATGTAGAACACCGCCTCTTAGTCTTAAACTGTGATCTGGTTGTTGATTTTTGCATGCCTGATTTAAGTCTGCCATCTAAAACCAACTTCAAAAGTAATTTGTAATGCAACTGGAGTTTTTCCCCACATTTTAAGAAGCAGTGGAAGAGCATTTAAACAAAACAAACACCCCCACAGAGTTTTATTGTAACCATCAACAAGTAGATAATGTCTAAAAAGCTATGTAGTTGTTATCAGACAGTGTTTTGAAAATTTTGAGACCACACTGATCAAGCTGCTGTGATGTGACATTTAATGTGCCTTACAACTTCGCTTCGTTACATTTAGCTTAGCCAGCCGGGTCTTATTGACCCGGCTGGCTAAGCTAGCCGGTTCTCTGTGACTTTCCATTTGTTGAGTCTTTGCTCTGTTGATTGGTGGTGACTTGGCATTTGGACTTGATTTGCTCTACAAATTGCCAAGACTGGAGCACATCTGGTCTCACCACAGCTGACTGAATGACGAATAACCATTATGGTTTATAAATTACCACATATACATTGTACTGTCAGTCATGCTGGGCCCAAATATGTTGAATTTGAGGTAACTACACTGAACCGATGCATTTTACAGCATTTTATACCACTGCTGCCAGAGGGCATTTGTCCTAGTTATAACTAAAATAGCCAAAAGAACAACAATGCTCATTCTATGACTTATGTTTTCATTCATTTAGAATGTAAATTTCTATAGGTTTTTTATTTTATTTTTTTACAAGAGGGTTACAGATACAAAAAAAAAAACTAATTCAATTTGTGAAGCTGTTTAGACTAATAATAGGAGAAAGCAGCTGTGATGGCTTGTGTGATCAAAAGCACACCTGATTTCAATTCCACAGAGAAGTAAGTTCAGCATTTTATGTCCAATTTTACATCATGGCGTGATTTGAGAAGCTCTTCAGAAACAGGGGAACACTTATCTGTCACGCCATCATCTGATAAAGCTTCTAACTGGAAGCTGATGATGTGGAAAAGACTTCAGTTGATGCAGATGTTTCACTGAAAGTACCATCCTGATGTGTCCATTGAGAGTCAAATATGACTTATGATGTCATGATCGTATCTCTGTCAAAAAACAGAATTTATGTTTTGTTTTTTGTAAATATTTTAGAGCATTTTTAAAGGAATTCAAAGAGTTTTTCTTAACATGCTTGCACATTTAACCGTTCAATATATGTGCACACACTGGCTTTTGTTTCTCCCAGAACCCTAACCTCCAGAAATATTTTTTTTTTGCGATAAAATAGATGCGCTTGCATTTGAGTGGCAAGCGATACGTCACATAGCGTCCGCCATTCCCGTCCGACACCCGACGCATGTGAGCTATGAGCTCTGTGATACCTCAATGTGAGCGAGTGGCGAAATACGAGAATGGGAGTCCGGTGGGGTCAGAGGTGGGCTTGGAGGGCGAGGTTTTGAAAAAGAGGCGGAGATGGGGAATAACTTGGGAGACCAGAGAGCTACAAATACACCGAGGGAAACCCAGACGAAGTCATTCGCTTTGGTTCTGTTGATGTCAAAAGCTTGGACCAATTTTAAAAGCTAGCCTGAACCACAAGCATTGAATTGCCACTGAATTCATAAGATGCTTAAAGTATAAAAAGAGTATGTATATTTTAAAAAGTCTGCTTTCTCGGCCTCAGATCTTTGTAAATGCCAGTAGAGGCATTAACAGGCAGGTGAGACATCTTGGACTGACTCTGGATAGAATCAGTCTTGTGTCTAAAAACTAAAGAGCTGAGTCAAACCAGAACAAAAAAAAAACTCCAGGTTGGGCTTCAAAAATGGCATGTGAGGATTTTTTAAAATTGCATTCTGAAAGAGATTTGTTGTCTTCACTAAGAGTCTAGAAATATTACAAGTTGACGAAAAATTTTTGACTGGTCAGCAACTAAAAATCCCATCTACTTCCCACGCAGCGGTTGCAACATATAAAAGCACTGATGACTTGCACTGCAAACACTCTTCGGTGTGGAAGTTTATGTTGCAGGAAGAAGACGAGAGGTTAGAAGTATTTGAGTTCTAGTATTTTATAACACTATAAACATTTTGTGAATACTATAACATAAAGAATATTTGAAAATATATATTGAATGTCAATTTTTTTTAGCTCTTACAGATAATGAACATGTACAAAAAATTTATAAAATGGATCACCAGGAATGGACCATAAAACATCAGATTTCCAGATTTATTGTGCTAAGATGTATGAAAATATAATTTACTAGCATGTTTTTACAATTTAAAAAAAGGATAAAATGAACCACATAAACCAATCCCAAAATGGGGTTGGTTAACATGGGGGCAATTGATACTTGATCAGATTTTATAATAATAATAGCAATAATCTTTCTATAATGACAATAAAGATTATTATTATTGAAATATACTACTATATCAAAGTATTGATTGCCCCCAGGTTTTCCAAAAACCAGCCATTTCTTGAATAAAAACATACAGTCAGAGGAATTATTTCACTACTTTAAACAAGCCCAAAACACCAATTTGTAACATGATTCCCGGTGCAAGTTGGTTTGGAACAACGAAGGTGATAAAGTGTTCCTTCTGCTGTCTTTCATGTCAATTTCATGATTACGGGGTGTGAGAGAGATGCTGAGATGTAGGGCAGCAGCATGAAGGCAAAGCAAAGCATCCTGCTTCCCTTTAATTAAAACTAATAGGCAGCAATTACCAGGTATCAGTCAAGAGACTGTTAATAACAACATTGCTCCTCACAATAATAACATCAACAGGAGGCACTTGCCCCCCTCCTACCCCCATGCACAGCCGCTGTGCATGGCTTTCAGATACAGCTTTCTCTGACAGCTTTCTGTTTGTCAGGAGTGGTTTTTAGTCATATATGATCCCCTCAGGGCCCTTACTCACAGCTGGGTTGTTAAAACATATCAAGTGGAGCGGCTGGCTCAAGGCTACGAACAGAGTATCAGAGTTAAACAGCCGGTTTTATGAATTTAACAATGGCAAATGTTTAAAGCGATTAGCTGATTACAAATCAATGAACATGTTCGGATTTGGCTTAGATTTTTGTCCAGTTACTGATATTTTTATTTTAGATAACATGCTCAAAATCCACGTAAGTCAATAATAGGAGTGTCTGTATGGTCGAGTGTGTTAAGTTTGCGCAAAGTAAGTCAAACTAAATTTACATTAAGGTTGGATTATTCTCCGATGGATAAGATCAGATATCAAGGGCAATTTCAGTAACTCGTGAGAGCTAAAGGAAATCTGGCAATATGGTGTGAAAAGAGAATATAGTGAGACGTTTAGCTATTTTTTATACTTCCAGTGACGCTCAATGAAGGAGACTCATGGAACCAAAAGGGACCAAACTGAGCACATTTTTGGTTCAGTCCTCCTCTGGAGGAAATACAGAAGTCTGCAGAAACAGAATGCAAAGAGTAATGAGTGAACAGGGTTTCTCGTATCCTACCGTGTTTTCGTGCCTCCCGGGGCGTTGCGCTGCTTATCTCCTGTACGCTCCGTAGCAGGCGTCGCTTCGCAAACACCAGAAATAAAAACAAGAAGAAGAGGACGAAGAAGAAGAAGAAGAAGAAGGGGAAAAAAGACGCCCGGTCGATTTAAAATGTCCGCGAGCGCAGTTAAACAAACAACACAACCCGACACGGCAGCAACAAGTCCCGAGCAGAGAGGGGCTGTTTCTCATTGAAGTGTGTCCTGCCAGAATGACAAACAGCCACACACACTCAGGCCCCGACTCTGTGCTCTGCTTCTCCCCTCCGTGCGGTGGGACGGAGGGGAGAAGAGGAGAAGGCGGAGGCTGGGACTGCTCCCAGCAGCACTGATAGGACGGTCGCACCGTCTGTTTTAACCCGCTCACTACCACGGCGGCGGCACGAGTCGACACACAAAACGCTCGCGCGTCTCGTCACACACATTCAAGACAACTTGGAATGGTTACTAGGAGACCAGCCGTAGCGTCGCCGAAAAATACCGGAAGACAAGCAACTCCATTGGAATACATGGATTACTCGTCATACAGCTAATGAGGAATAGATTAATAATTAAAATGGTAACATTTAAGTAAATATCTTTTTTTTTTTTTATGAAATTACGCCCAAACGGCCTGCAGAAGTCTGGCCAAAGTTTTATTACAACTTAACTTTTCCCAACTCGCTTTTACACCTTTACATTACTTGTACGCCAAAAAATTAGGCATATTTAGCCAACACTGATAAGCATGAAAAACGTTGCAAAAACCTGGTCTTGGATTCAAGAACTCCCAGTTACTGACACTATCTTTACTAAATAAGATACACATGCACACACTAGAGGACCCTAATGTCCAGAGGCGGTCCTAGTCTGTTTGGGCGGGTGGGAGCTACATTTCTTTAACATAGCGGCATGATGCCATTAGTTGAAAATTTAGATTATTGCTAAACTGTAATTTTTCTGCTATGACAGCGAACTGAACACCATCTCTGGTAATAAGGAAGCAGAACTAGTCTCGTCAGCCTATTTAGCACCTTTGAATGTTGTTTCTGCTATTATAGTTGAACTATGTAAATACATCATTAAATATTTACCACTGTTCTCTCACCATTTTGTTAATGAAAAACAAAAAATACATGTTGTGTTGTTCACATTAATATTAATATATACTAAAATTACTACATTATCAGAACTGAAAGAAGTCATGAAATTTATTTATAGTCAATCAATTGACATTTGCAAAAGCAGCCAATCCCAAGGGCCACTTATTTCCTGCGTCTGATTGACTGTTTCCCAAAGAGCAAAACTAAGGGAAACTGTAGATATTAACTCCCATGGTAGGGCATACTAAGATGGTTTCTAACGCATATTTGGTATGTGAACTATTAAAATATTCAGTTATAAATGTTTTTAGAGAGGGTGTTAAGTATTCATGGATTTTAGCTATTCGTTGAATTCTGGGTGTCCACTGTGTTACAAAAAGTATACTAACTACATTTGAGGCGCATTTAAGACTAAGGGGCATTAGTGATTACATTGCAAAATATTAAGTAGCAAGAAAAACATCAGTTATATATAGTACTTTTAAAAGACAAATAATGGATTTCATTAACCTTTCTTGAAGAGACAGTTAACAGTCTTTAATTATCTGACACTCAACCACATAACTCTTTGAAAGGGACGCACCCAGGCTTGACACATCGGCTTACTGTAATTACAGATGACTGACTGGATATGTTGGCTTCTTCTCAGTTCAGTTTAATAGCTACTTTAATGCTGTCTACCGCATATCTTCAGGAGGAAGAGGAAAGATCATCAGAGTTGACTGGAAGATGGATGAAGCTAAATGAACGACGATCCAGGATGAAAACCTGCTTATTCCCAAACCCTAATGGACCCTAATGGACTAGCTGCTGCAACTGCAGTAAGAAGTGGCTCAACAAAGTAAAAACTCAAGGAGGCTGAAATCAAACGTATGTCACATTTGTCCAGCGAGATATTTCAGGGCGAGAAGCGGGGTACATCCTGGACAGGTCGCCAGTAACGTGATGAAAAACTCAAAAAAGTAAGTCGGTTTTACATAATGCTGCCCCTTTAATGTTGATAACCATGTATCATTTTACTTCACATCTGTCCACTACTTTGTGTCTTATCACATAGAATCACAGAATTGTAATATTCACAGTTCATCAAAGGCTTTTGATACCAAAAGGAAAAAAAAAAAAACAGCAACAAAAAAACAGTTGAGCCGAAGTTTAAAAATGCATTCAGGTTGTGCTCAGCGGGAGAGTTGGGTTTATCTTAGGGAATGCTGGGAAGACGGAGGGCAGTACCTGGCTTTAATTTTAGCTGTCCACCACGATTAGGACACAGTTCATATAGCAAGTGTAATCATCTGCAGTAGTGAGGCGCTTGTTCACATCTGGCCCCGAGGCCAGTTAAAGCCTAAGCCACGCAGCGCTTTGTAGTTGACTGGAATAATAATAACCTGGTAGTAATAGGTTGTACAGGGTTCAGCGTGTTGGACTGGGCCTCCATTTCATCTGACGGCAGATAAAACACAAACGCATTTAAGCTGCAATGCCAGCGTCCGGCTATTTATCCTCTACATTTAAACACGGCGTTAAAAAAAACGTACCACAGAAGCTCAACTTCAGTGGAGCAGGGCCGAGGTCTACCCACATGGAACTAAAGGAGGGACTACATCAAAGGACGCGCACTGTACCAGGAAGGATGGAGGCCCTGGTGAAAGCAGAACGGCCCCCGAAAAGATTGCACACAACTCATCAAAGTGACAGGTTTAGCGGACAGAAAAAAAAGGGGAAAAAAAGAGCAAAAAACGAAGGTTTAAGGGAGGGAGAGAGGGCAGAGGAGGACGGAATGCCTCTGAACTGTTTAAGGCTTTGGCAGGCGATGTCAGAAATAATCTAACGTCTTTCCAATTTTGCTTTCAGATCATTTCATCCTCGCTCTGCCTCCCAATAACAATCAATTCCCTTTCACTGTCGATCTTTGAACTGAAGAAAGCAGAGCAGACGTGCGCCCCCCAAAACTGAAAACTTGTTGTTTTCAATGAGGAGAGAGGAGAAGAGAAAAGGCTGTAAAACCTCAAACAGCTGCGAGAAGAAAGAAAAACGGGAGAGGAATAATAATAATAATAATAAAAACATTTTTAAACCCTCTGGAAGGCTTTGTTCTGTTAGCTTAGACATGATCTGACTTGTGTGATTTGCAAAAACATGAGCAAAGAGCTAATAGAGCATTAAGATGGTGGGCCTTGATACGCACAGACATATATGAAGAAAGGAGGCAGGTAATCCTAGAATTGCAGCTACCCCTACGTGCAATAATATCTGGTTATTATAAGATTGAAAATAATGGAAGGAATATTGAAAAGGTTAAAGGTTTGTATTGATAAAAAAAGAAGGTGTTTAAGTGAGGGGGGAAAAAAAGGCCAAGCACGAATGTCTCACTTCGCACTGGCTTCCGAGTGTCTGGGTTTCTGAAACCCAATCTCACCGACACCTCGGCTGTGAGGATGGATATCTCTCACCTGATTAGCGCTGTGGCCCCTGACCATGTCCGGAAGGAGCCAAAGAGCCCGAGGAGTGACTGAAAGCTGAGTGGGAGCTGATGCCTGCTAAACTCCCGCAACCAGCCACGACACTAGGCTCTGCTTCATTTAATCCTCTCCTCTTTCCTATATGCTGCCAAGGTTAACGTTTCACTGCATATAAGATGCAGAGGGGAAGCCCTAATTTAGCACCACAACCATCTGGCTCAAACATCTGTACATGGTTCTGGGTTAGCTGACAGGTGATCTTCCTGGGAAGCTTGAATTTTCTTTGGAAAGTGTCCAAATGACGCCCGGCGCTCCGGTTCAACATGCATGCGAGTAAAGTCTGCCTCTCTAGATAAAGATGTTCTTTGAAGGTTATCTGTGATGGCCTTTAAAGTGGATACATGCAGGTGTTTTAGTTTAAAGTCTTATCGCGGTTTGTACCTTTAGAGTCGCGCTGGAGTCCAGTCTGACCTCAGTCCGACATCTGATTTCCTCTCAGCTTTCATCATTCTTCTGATAAAATACATGCTTTAATTATTTGTTATGATCAAATAAGAAGACACAAAGTTAATATCTTAAAGTGGCAGTATTATGTATTTTCAAGGGACACAGTGCCATTTTAGAGCACAATCAAGTAACTATGTTATATCAAATATAACAAAGCAAATTTGACTTTGAAATTTAACTCCCTGAAATTGAGCCTCTGTCTCTTTAAAAACTCCTGCTGTTTCTGAAACTCTGCTTTCAAGAAGGCATCACAATATGGCAGTAACACGGCATCTGTGAGGCTTGGAAGCTTGGAAACTGTAGCTCCAAGGAGCTGCTTTGTCCTTGAAGGCGGGGCTAGGTCCACCCAGGTGTTTTGCACAGCTGAGTGGTTGCCATGGAGATTAGATGATTTCTCAAACAAGCATGAATAAATCCAGGTAGGTTTTTGATGAGGGAATAACATCATAACATGACGTAAAGCTCAAAAAAGTTGATTTTACATAATACTGCCCCTTTAAGAACAAGTTATTTAGATGTTACCTCCATGTGAAACTCTCAGTTCCGTCATTTTGGCTTTAAATTCACTGCTACTGATGGCGTGCCTCTGAAATAAAAGAATAAAACAGATTAGAACTTATAAGATAGAAATATGTAGAGATGTAACCCCAGTGTAGACCATGTATGCATGAGGATAAGTTCAAGTTGGAGCTGTGAACATGACATCTTGATATAAGATGATTTATTTATCTATTGATGTGTTAGGTGTCCCAAATACCAGACTGAAGCACTGGGGTGACTGGACCTTTTCAGTGGGAGCAACTCGACTCTGGACCAAACTCCCTCTAGAGCTTTGCTCCAAAAAACAAACAAACAAACAAAAAAAAGTACAGTGTAGTATAATATTCCTAAAAGTAATCCCCCCACCCCCATTGACACCTATTTTTTAATCACACATTAGAGACATTTGGCTAAAGGGAGTTTAAATCAGAAGCA